AAATACACCCAGATTTAAAAAAATTAATTTAGACTTTCCAAAGGTGCCACAAAGTGGGATAATCTCTCTTTTCTCTCTCTCATATATATATATATATATATATATATATATATATATGCACACACACATACACAGGGTGTGAAAGATAAATTGTCATCTAAATTACATAAAAATGAAAATAACACTGAAATCTTATTTAACCAGATATATTTACCAAAATTATACAAAAATATCTTGAAATATCAAAGAGTAAATTTATTCAATAAAATCACCATTGGCTCCAACCATGTCCTCCAGGCAACTTCAGAATTTCCTGCAACTATTCTGAATGTCTCCTTGGTTAAGTTGGTGAATGCTGCCATAATTCTTGCCTTCAGTTCATCTTTGGTGTCACAAATAGTTTTGTTGGTCTCTCAAATCAACTGCACCCCACACAATAATCAAGGAGGTTGCAGTTCAGGGTGTTAGTAAGAGGTGATATGGTCACAGGAATTGTCTGAGAGCTATGCTTGGCTTCACCTGCTTGTGTGGCATGGTGCAGAATCCTGTTGCCAGAGATAGTATCTTCCAGCAGCCACCCTCAGGACCCAGGGCAGCACTACCTCCTCAAGGCGCTTGATATAGACCTTGATATTGTCTGAGGCCCTGTGGGAAGATGAATGAAGGCATAATGTTGCTATCACTAGTGATCACTCCAAACATCTTTGTAATTAAACTCATCTAACTCTTTCTGAGTCCTCTGCACTGTTCTCAGATTGTTATGCAAACACTCTGAAATGTTCGTATTGGAGCTTCGGGTACAAATGCCAAGCAGTACAACATGTGGTTTCCAAATTTCTGGCAAAGTGAATTGCATCATAGTGCTCTTTTTCTCACAGATGGTTACCTAACTAACCCTACTGTGTAATTGACAAAATCAAAAACAATGTGCATGTACAAAATTAAAAATATGGCGACAATTTACCCATCGCAACCTCTGTGTTTGTGTGTGTGTGTATATATATATATATATATATATATGATAGAAATCTCTCTCTCACCCCATATATATATATATATATATATATATATATATATATAAATAAATAAAAGGAAGAGGTTATAGTTTTTTCCAACAAGAGAAAAGTGTATATATTACAAAGAAGAGAGAAACTGCATACATTTTTGGTTGTAATGTAGATTTTTTTTAAAAAATATATCATGCTTTATTTTCCATAATTTTGCTACACGTGTTTCCAGTCTCGTAACCTTCATCAAGCAAAAAGTGGATATTTCCACATGTTATTAAAAGGAATTAATTTTTCTTATGTTTTTCGATATTAAACATTCTATTTTTTGTTTGCTAGTTCAAAGAAGACATTTGTGTCACTAACACAGAAAAAAGAGAATGTTTAACAATTTCCTGTCCTTTGTAGCTCTTAATAAAGTTTGTCTTTTTGCTACCTTTCCTAATCTCTGTTATGCCAACCATTTGCACAAGTTCATTAGGTAGGTTATGCACTGCTTTCCTTTGTCCTTTTTGCTTTCAATATGTCCTGTGAGTGTCAAATTTTCCTAGCCCTCTTTCCTCATTGAAATTCAGCTCATTCATGCTATGTATCCTTTTTGTTTCCATTTCCAGAAAGAGAGATAGAAATTTTTTTTTTTTTTTTTAAATAATTCCACACCAAGCAAGGAAATAAAACCACTAAGATGTAAGGAGTTACTGTATATGAGAATATGAGAAAAATAAAAACATTATTATGGAGTGAGAAAAATAAAATAACAGGAATTCAGAAGATAACGACTGACATTGCATTAAAATTTTTGAAGATCAAAGATGACTGAGAAACCAGAAGAGAGTTCCACAAGTGAGAAGTGCGAAAGAAGAAACTGTGGTCAGTGCATGGAGAGAAATCTACACAACATGCGAGATGTAGCCATGAATATGACTTTTCAAAGCTACAAGGAATTTGATCTGCATATTTGTTTAAATGCTGATAAGGTCACCTTTTAACATGCTGATAAGACAGCAGTCAAAATACAATCAAAAACAAAGTTTTTAAATGAACTTTGTTAAGCCTAAATGTTCTTAATACCATCAAACAACAAAAACAGACGGCAAAGCCCATACTTAAGATCAAATTATAAGACAGTTACACAAAATCTTATCACCCACATCCCTTGCTCTATTGCTTGATCTGTTCAGAGGTCAGGACTTTCTTTTTCATACACAAACTGAAAATGAATATTTGAAAAAAAAAAAAAAAAAAAAATTAACTTTTCTTTTTTCCAGTCAAATTTCAATAACAAAAGAAAACAATCATGAAATACCAACTGAAATTGGATAACTGAGTTCCAATTTCAGTTGGGTTTGTTATATTCAAAAACAAAAAAAGTTTGTTATATTCGCTTACACGCAAATACCATTGGGAAATATATGGATCCTTCTCTTCTCAGCTATGGGTTAAATAGTAAGACTTGAATCAGTAAATCATCTCCAAAAACATTCTTACAATACTGGCTTTAAATAACTGAAATTGGAATGCAGCTATCCAATTCTGAACCATTATCCATTACAATACCCACACATCCAAGCACCTGTTATTCCAAGTGGTCACCCATCCAGATACTGCCCAGGCTTGACATTGCTTAATTTTAGTGATTTGTGTTTTAATTAGATATGACTATAAGCAATACTATTAAGAGAAGACAAAGAGAAAGGGGATGATTTAACCCTACGTACATGACATGGCAGGTCCTAAATGTAAAAGTCTGAAGTGGTGGAATCAAGAAAGACAGCTCATTCAAACTTTTGCCATGGAAATAACAATAGGTTTGCAATGTTTCATCTGTAGAAAAGCTGACTGATGTCTGGAGTGACCTTGAGACCTAATCAACATTCCAGACAAGGAGTCTCGTTGAGAGTACAACTCTTCATTATCACTGAAGAAAATTCAGGGTCAACTTTGTGATGATGAAATGTTACTAACTTGGAATGAGTGATTTGCTTTTTATGGGTTTTCAACTTCTTGCAGGTTATTTAAAGTTAAAAAATATTTTTAGTTTCTAAAAATTTTTTGACATGATAATGATTTACTGATACAAGTCCTAGTAATTAACCCATATCTTGTAGGGAGAAGTGGATTCATGCCTCTCCAAGGGTATTTACATAAAAGTGTGTATAATGAACCTGACTGGAAGTGAAACTCAGTTCTTCAATTTCCAATTCCAAGTCATTATCCATTACACCAGCTGCACATCCAAGCTTACAGCACCCAATGTTTCCAAGCAGTCACCCATCTAGGTACTGACCAGGCTGTTTCTAGCTTGGTTTTGGAGGTATTGAAAATAGTGGGGAAAGGGTTGAAAACAATTCATCATCCACAAGGCCGTGTAAATGCGTTAACTTTATCAAGGCTAAAGAATGATTACTGGGAAGCTGCAACCCAGATTCCATTTCTGTTCTTGTAAAGATAGAAAATCACAGGAATCAGCTACTTTCTAGCAACCGACCATTTTTCCAGCATCTTTAGTGATGGATTGTATATGTATGGGTTCTACGTGAGGTCTGGAGTGAGTTTTAGTTCCAACAAACATTCCAGGCACGGAGCTTCATTTAGAGTCCAATCTTTCATCAGGATTGGAAAAAATTCAGGTCCTGTTGAGTGAGGAAAGAGAAAATGAAAGGGGCGAATAGATCAAACAAAATGAATGGACATAGGATAAATTTTGGTCAGGGAACTTTCGCATCCCCAAGAATCTTGCCTTCAGACATGTTAGAAATTCTAAAACAAAATGGGGAACTGAAATCACTGAACTGGGAGGAGGGGATTAAATTCTTGATTGAAAATGAAGAATGTCAAAAATACTTTTGTACCAACTACAAGAGCTGTCTGGAATAATCATGCTGGGGGGGGGGGGCTCAATTTATATAAAAGAGCATTATCTAAAGAATTAATGGGTTTTAAACTTTGGTAGAGTAATTGATATTGGCTAGGATTGAGGAATTGGAGAGTTGAGTTCATTACATTCACTTACATTCAAATACCCTTGGAAAAGGTATATATCCATCTCTTCTCTGCCCCAGAGATGGGTAAGCAGCAGCACAGACTTGGTCCTATAGACTTGGGTGGCAACCAGTCTAGAAGGAGGACAACTCTGAATTCAAAACCCCAACTCTAGGTTAAATAGCCTCAAGAACCCAAAATTAGTTAAGTGTGATGAAGACATGGTCAATCCTTCCTCCAAAAGGAGTGAGAAGACCCCTAGATTTGGATCTTTTAATCTGGCATATTTCAAACAGTTTTTTTTTTTTTTTTTTTAGTTTTTTAGTGGATACTTATATTTGAGTAGATCTTTTATTTATTTTAAATGGTATTTATTTTGTCTATAGGCCTGTGTACTGAAGAAAAATTAAAGAAAATGTGACCTGCAGTAGGATAAAAACCTGTGTCCTCTTTGGCAGGAGGAACCACCATCTGATCTGGTGCACTTTTACCACTTGGCTACAAAGAGGGTCCCAATAAAGCAAGTTTCTATTTTACCTTTAAAGCACATGTTCGGAATTTTTACTTTGTCGGGGAAATCAGTGTTCTTTACTACTCGGCCATGAAGAACATCACAGTAAGGAAGGCTCTATTTACTCTTTTTAAGGAAAAAATATCCGCTTCACCCAGATTATTTTTTTCTTGAAAGTTATAGCTGCTTATTTTCTTATCTGAAATGTAAACAAAGCAATTTCTAAAGAATTAATGGATTCTATTTTTTAATCTAACATATTTTTGTTACTTCAAGTGTTATTTCTTTTTTTTTTAGTGGATACTAATATTTGAGTAGACGTTCCATTTATTTAAAACAGTATTTATTTCATCTACCAACCTGTGTACTCAAGAAAACTTAAAGAAAATGTGGCCTCCAGCAGGATTTGATTGACACTTTCTTGGGGGTTATAAGGAGCCAACCGTTTCTGGTTTCATCCGATTCTGAATACATAAAATAGAGAAAAATCTAGCTCTTACCTTGATCCGAGGAGTGACTGACTGGACAACTGCTTCTTAACAATTTCCTCAATGTTGATATCCTTGCTTGTGCGGTCAGTGGACTGGACACTTGTGCTTTCTACATTCTCGGCCTGCTTCTCACTGGCCGGCTTATCATTTGAGATCAAGATCGTGGTACTGCAAGTGGATGACTCGATTTCACTACTGTTTGCGGTCACGGCAACAACCGTCTTCAAACAAGCCTTTGGAGCACCATTTGCGTCGCTGTCCTTATCCTCACCAGAGAACTCAATAGAGTCAAAATGAGCCAGGGGGGCATGCAGACTGATGTCATCGACAAATATATCTGACACCTGACTAGTAGTGCGGTCCATGGTGGTCACCATGGTCCGGGTCCAGTCAAGGCTGTCCGTCGACTTCCAGGAAAGCCGGCTCGATTTGCGCTCTATCCGTCCTTTACAACGGGACTTACGATGAATAAGTGGAATGCTGGACTCTATGCACTTGCGGGCTGGTTGAGAGAGTGGCCGGCCATGGCCAGATGTCCACTCAACATTGCTCTCGGGCAGCTTGGACAGGCACTCAAATTTGCACTGACCATTCACATCACAGTTCTCCCCGCAAGCACATGGGCCATTGTCAATGAGCTCAAAGGTGTCTGTTGCTTCACGAAGCTCACTGTTCTCGGCAAGTTCTTTCAGCTCTTTATTACACTGCGAAGAGGTCAGGCTCTCGATGCCACTGTCGATTGTATTAATTTTGAGAACCTCTTCCCCTTTGTCCTGGCTGCCTACATTGCCCGATTGAGATGCAGAAGCTGACTGAGAGGAGCCATGATCTTTGCCGGGTCGATAGACGTAGAGAGATCCGTTTGGTTGGTGGCGCCCGGATTCTTTGGAGAGAGGCTGGTTCTTAGAGTTCCCCTCCGCAGCATCATGACCTGACTTGGAGTAACATGTCCCCATAGTTACGTTAGAGTATCAAGTCCAGTTTCAACACTGACCTGAAAAACAAGGAAAGGAATCTATGAAATAAATCTGTCTTGAATGATTTGTCATAAACATTATAGATACATAACAATGTGGAATAGACATGAAAACATCTTATTTCTATACTACCAAAGCAGATTGTTCAAGCTGATAAGATAACAAATGCTTTTCTCTTTCATATAAACACACATTTTATATATATATATATATATATATATATATATATATACACATATATATACACACACATATATATATATATATATATATATATATATATAGAGAGAGAGAGAGAGAGAGAGAGAGACTGATTTTCCATAGTTTCAAATTTTCCTTAATTCTGTTTCAGGTTTTAGGGACTTCTGTTCCCCTCTCCCCCCAATTTTTAGTATAGATTTCTGTATTTGCTTCATTATAATATATAGCGAGAAAGTATAATAATATATAAAATTTATTAAGACAAGAAAATAAAAGGAAAATGAAACTTTTTACAAGCTGGACTATCCACCCATTGGATAAAAGTTGCTTCAGCTTCATAGGTTTTTGTATCTCATACTTCAGCCCTTAATCCAACTTTAGTTTCTGAGACAACCCTCGCAAAGAATTCTACAATCCTAAATAAGAATTAAGTGGCAAAACCTACAGAAAAGTAGCACCACAAAATCATCTAGAGACAAAAAGCTACATTATCATTAGATTACTTTATTGAAATTATTAAATAAAATTTTTTAAAAAAAGTTTAAATCGTAAAAGTTGTCCTTCTGAAATGAGAAACTGCCCTACCTGTCACCATTTGGGATAGGAAAAAAAAAAAGGATAAAACAAAAAACAAAAAAAATTTGTTTCACCCCGCCCCACCACCACCTGTCTTTTTTTTTTTTATTAAATCAAGCTCACTTTGTTCCTAAATACTGTAGGGAGACAGTAGGTAAGGAGGGATTTATTAAAACATTACTGACTTTATCCTTTGATGTCTGTCAGATGAGTGAGTTAGGAAAGGCAAACATAGTAACAAATTAAAATGGCAGTTGACAAATCTGATTGTTAGAAAAATAAATTTCCATCTCAAAATCTCAATTTCTGTTTTAAGTAGACCATTTTGTTTTTATGGAATAAAATAAGCTTATATATATATATATATATATATATATATATATATATATATATTGAACAATAAAAAATATTAAAAAATTAAAATCTTCAGATACACTGGGTTGTAGATTAATATTCTTCCATTTCTATTATTATTATTTCATTTAGATTCCTTGACTAGTTTTGGCCAAAATGGCCATCAACAGAAGATGAAAATGTCTGCTTGCTGGTAGCAGTGAACTACAGAAATAAATGTCTTGATGGAGAAAATGAACTTTTGTCTGTAGTTTTCATTTGTTTTTTTTTATTTTTTTAACATTCCTTGTGTTGGTCAAACAGTCTCTTTTAAGTTGTTATTTGAGATAAGAGCTGGATGGATCTATGCTGCTCTGAATTCCCCTGATCAGTTTGACAGTTTTATTGGTTCCTGGAGAGGGGATGTGTCTGTGTGTGTGTGTTATTTGGTTCTTAGGGAATGAGTGAGTATGATATGTGTAAGCGTGTATATTACTGTGAGTGTGTGTTATTATTTGGCTCATTAGGGAGTGAGTGAGTATGATGTGTGTAAGTGTGTATATTTGTGTGGGTGTGTGTTTAAGTGTGATGCCTCAACACCTCATGTCTGTCTTGTGTGGGTGAGAAATGTGGGTAGGTTTTGATTTGTTGGGTTATATATTAATACTATCTATAGTGTTAAATTTATGGTTTAGCCTGGCTGGATAGTGTGTTTTTAAACATATCCACTTATTTTCATGGAACTCTAAAATCTTTCTAATGTTATCTGCTCTGAACTTTTCTATTCTATATATATATATATATATATATATATATATATATATATATTCCTCAGTGTGGTGTAATGGTTAGCAAGCCTGTCTCGCTAGATCAGTTACAACTGAAAAGTGAGTTGTATCCTCACTAGGTTCTCCATACTTTCAGCCTTGTGCCACATCTAAGCTACGCTTAGAAAATAAGTACACACACACATATATATATATATATATATATATATATATACACACACATCAGTGGTGATTCAAGTGATCAGGTTTAGCCCAAGTGAGTCAACATTCAAGTATATCTATTTGAACACAACAAAAATCTTTTGCAGTTCATCGTTTTCATTCTTGACTTCAGCTGGATTCAAAATTCAAAACATTGACTGAATGAAATACATTTCGTTGATAGTGTTCATAATAAAGAAGAAAAAAAAAACAAAGAAAGAAAGAAAGTAAGTAAAAAATAGAATGAAATAAAATTAAGCCAGTCAGCCTGCATAGGTTTTAGTCTTATCTAAGCTGGAGACAATCTTAATAGGCAATATATTTCTATAAATAATCTTTTAAAAATCTCTAATGACTTGTATGTCTTGTTTTTCAAAGAACACATTTTTTTATTATTTTTATTACAACTTATTGCTTACAAATGTCCACTTTAGATAATTTATACCATATAGTATAAGGTTTTTAAGCACAATGTATCTATTGAAAAAAGGCAAATTAAATTTAGCCTGACCTCAAGTTGGTGAAAATCAAAGTGTCGACTGGAGGGATGGAGTGAGGAGTGTGAATGGAAATGTCGAGTGGTGAGGAAATACAATAGCAGCAATGATTATTGACCCCAAAAATATACAATAAACTAAGCTAAAAATCCCCAGACAGAATCATAAAAACAATAACATACAATATACAATATAATATACAAACACACACTCAAGATTTAACACAAACTTTTTTTTTTTTTTTAAAAAGATAAACATATCTGGCTAGAGATTTTTTTTAAAAATTATATATTTTAGTAAGAGTAAAGGAATTATTTTAGCATCTAAGTTATACCAATAGTATATTTTGTTAAAGTTTGTAATGAGCCCGACAAACATTGATGAGCAAGAGTCACCACTGATATAAATGTAATTAAAATGACAGTTCAAATCTTAACTTTTCTACCACAAATGCAAAAAAGGAAATTATGTTGGAGAAACTGGAATGGAATTCTGTCTTCACTTCAATTATCATAAAAACCCATCAAAGACAACAACAACAATTTCCCTGTCACTGCAGACTTCATCCAACTGTTTCATAGCATTGATGATATCAGATGTGTTTTTTAGCATCTTCATTCAACAGCCAACAAAAAAGACACAGATTGGAGTTGAAATATATTTTCACAAATAAAATTACACATTGAGGGATTAAACATGGATTTGGATTTACTTAGAGAGTATAATATCCAAAGGGAGCCCTCTAATCAACAATAACAACATTCCTCAGATGAGTAAGTCCCATTTCTTTGTTTATTCCTTGTATCATTGAAAAAGAATACAGGCATTTCCAAAAATTCTAACATTAAAATCTTTCTCTTCATGCTTCAATTTAGTCTAAAGGCTTATATATAAAGCATAATATTTTTTTCTAAATAAATCCACATTACAACCAAAAACGTTAGCGGCACCTCTCTTCTCTTCTTTTTAATATACATACTTTTCTCTTGTTGGAACCACTACAACATATTTCTTTTATACATATCTCATCAATTTTATTGTCAATATTGTTTTCATTTTGTTGGCTTTTTATTCCTCGATTTTATTAACTAACCTATTAAATATATATATATATATATATATATATATATATATACACACACACAGGGTGAGGCAAAAGTAATTATTAAAAGTATAATTACACAAGAAAATTTTATTTACTAGTTATTTAATTGTTGTTATATATGCTGTTCAAAATGTCCTCCTCTTTTTTCAAAACATTTCAATTCTGTGCCTGCATGATTCATCAGAGAGTTTCCTCTGTCATTTTACTGTATTCATATTTTATTTCTTTTTTAAGTTCATCAATATTTCTTGGGTGCATCTGATAAAACAACAAATTTCAAAAGGCCCCCAGATAAAAAAAAAAAAAAAAAATCCAAGGGTGTGAGGTCTGGTAGCCTCAGTGGTGCATGACTTTTGCCTCACCCTATATATATATATATATATATATATCTCGCAGAGCCGAGTTCGAATTCCAGTCGAATCCATTACATTCACTTACGTGCTAATACCCTTGGGAAAGGTATGAATCCTCTTCCTTTCCCTCCAGCTATGGGTAAAATAGCAGGACAAACTGGGTTCTATAGCCTTGGATGGCAACTGGTCTAGGAGAAGGACAACTCTGAATTCAAAACCTGCGGAGGGTCGTTTGGGAACCTTGTGACATTCGGTGCACCAGGTTTCTGTATTTCGTCCCCTCCAAAAAGTGTGGCTGGTCCTGCACGAGGCCTTCACCACTATAATCAAATCTCATGTGCGGTGTCGGGCTGTCGGTTTCCTGGAAAACTTATCTGCCTGACCCTCATACATTGGCGAATCTTGATGGGAGAGTCGATTATATATATATATATGAAGAAATATAGTCTTAAGATGTGCTATATTTATGGGATAAAGTGCTCAATATCAGAGATAGAGTGTGTAAATATAAAGTGAACATAAAGTCAACACTTAGGCGACAGTCTGTTTTAGTGCTAGAAGCAATGGTTAGGTGGCCTGGCGTTGCATCTAGCATGAAACAGACTGTTGCCTCAACAGAAGTGTTGACTATGTTCACTTTTATATATATATATATATATATATATAAGCACTTGATTGGGCCTTCGGCTTGTTTAGGAGTTTGAGAGTCCCTAAGTTTTTGCATATTTTCAGCATTGGAGAAAGCTTGCCTGGCTACCGTTTAATCTAGGTTTTCATCTGTATGGGACTTTCTTTTCCTTGTTGCAGCCTTGGCTCTTTTGATTGCAATCCAGTCCTCTGTTGGTGGAGATTTCTTTTTGCAAGGCATACTGCTGCCGTATGCAATAGGCAACAATAAACTACAGAATTCAAAATCGATCATAGT